GTTATAGTTACAGTAAGAGTAATAATTTTGATTACTCGTTACTAAAAAAGGTAGCGGCGTTAGTAACGCCGTTACTCCCATCACTGAATATCATTGGCTAGAGAGCCTAATAGCAGACAGACTTTATGGGGAATAATATGAGGGGAGTCATGCGGAACAGAAGGCAGCTGAGCCAAGCACTTTGATGCTCCGAGGGCTGTCCCGGGATCAAATCTAAAAAAAAATTTTGCTTTTTAGGCTGGAAGGTGAGGAAAACAAGCACACCCAACAATGACTGGATATATTTGTGTAAGCCATGGTAATTAGCATGTTAATGATGGTTAAAAACAGACTTTATATGGAGATTTCCTCATTATGGAATGGTCTTATTACGAATATGCTGGATTACTTTTAATCTGTGGACTCTTATGGACAAATGGAATATAAAAAATCTAAGATTGGATTGGATCAGGAAGGCTTCAAAGGTAAGAAGTCTGAGCTTTATTTTAGAATTTTTTATTTAATATATCTTTATAAATTATGCATTGGCGCTCACGGTTTCCATAAAATTATCTTGACATTTGAATTTTGGAGAATCTAAACTTTCTAAGGGTGTATAACATGTCTATATTGGTAAAAATTTTACCATTGCTATTTTTCAAGCATGCTGCTGTGTTTGATATAAATATACAAAACAGTGCACCGTCGCCCAGGTGGGATATAAGACGTTTAAGTTTGTGGTCCAACCAATGGCGTAAATATAAGCAGAGACTGCAGTTGCTTAGGGGCCCCCCGACCTCTTAGGGGCCCGGTCACTGACCCCCTAGAGGCCCCCTTTGCAATTGTGGACTAAGACGTCTCTTTGCAGATGTAATGATGAGAAAAATTCCTCTTCAACTCAGCTGATACTGTGTTGACTGACCGGACCTTATTTATACCCCAACACATGGCAGATTTCAACAGGATGGTGAGCCGTTTAAACACAACACCAATAGCAAAGCAGACAGTTGTACTTTTAATTACTATGTTAATAACTGCGTATAGTTCATAAGATGGTTGGTAAAAATACACTCATGTAATATGTTTCAAACCGCAATAAAGATCTTAAAAGAAAGATGGGTGTGAGTATTTTATTTTTTACACTACGACTTGAAATTATGGGTAATCCAGAGCGTAGATTGGGGCCCACCCAGATAATGTTGTGTCGTTACGCCATTGGGTCCAACTATTATTTTTGTTTTACTACCTGGCTTTATAATGCTTTTATCTTTATTTAGTTTTACTCTGCTCTTATTTTTCTTCTTGGTCTAATTAATATAAGGAACTTGGAATTATCCATGTACTGAATTGTGCTATAGAAAATAAACTTGCGTGGCCTTGGTCAGATAAGATGGGAATCTATTTGTAGTTTTCAAACAACCAACCTTATAAGATGTTTACATCCTGCAGTTTTATGTATTATAAAGTATTGTATCTTCTCAATACTTTTTTGCACAACTATACTTGTTGTGCAAAGGACAGTTCCTTGAACTATTATTTTTTTCCTCTTAAATGAAACATTTATTTTGGAATCCAGGTGTGCTATTCTTCATAATTATGCAGTTTTTTCTTACATTGTTAATTTGACGGGTCTGACTCCTAGTCTCTTTTTTATGTGCAACTGCATGCTTCCATTCTGTCAAATGCAGCTCTGCTGATTAGTTTCTCTCTTTCCATTTTTTTCATTTTGTGTCTGGCTCAGTTGTTTTTTTGAACTTTTTGTTTTATTTTGGTTCACTCATTTCTGTTCTCATTTCAGACAACTTCACTTCCTGGGATTCCCCTTTAATCAGCCTTCCTGATACTGCTCACCTGTGTCTTGTTGCCGATTGCCTCACCTATTTAAACCTCTTCCTCTGCAGACTTCTTTGCCAGTTTGTCTTTGTCACTTGTGTCAAACATCCCAGCCTTTGTTCTACTTTTACTAGCAGTTAAGCTAGTTGCCCTCCTTGTTATTTTTTTTGACCAGCCTTGTTTTTTGAGATTTGTGCCAGTTACTCCACTCATTGTGCAGTAGCGCATTAAATTATTATTTTCTGAGTTGAGTCCTGCATTTGAGTCCTCTTTGGTTGCCTCTGACACATTCATTTGTCAATTTGTGCCAGAATTTCTACACTAAAAACAATTTCTATTCTATTCTATTCTATTCTATTCTATTCTATTCTATTCTATTCTATTCTATTCTATTCTATTCTATTCTGGATGTAAAACATAGGCCAGATTAAAAAAAAAAAGATGAATCAATTTAGCTCAATCCAGAACTTGTGCCAACACTCAAACAACAATCTTCACACCTGTCAAATGTTCACACATGATATCCAAGCAACCGGACTGTGATAGTGTCACACAGTATACTGACTGAGGCCTACCAACCAATGCAACACATGTCAGCTTTTATCTGTAAAACAGATTCAAACTTGGATATCTTTTTTCGTCTACTTTGCAATGGATGGATGGATGGATGGATGGATATTCAATGATGAAATTTGAGCTAGAAAAATTGAAATTATAGTATAATGGAAAATGTAAGATACAGTTGAAACTGATAAACATTCACTAGGTTGTACATTTACAAGGTTGGATATCAGCATCACAGAATCATGTTTAGAGCAAGAAATAGTAAGTCACCAGCCAGTATACAACAATATTTGAAAATCAAGAGAGATGATATAGTATCAGGAGTAATTTATGATTAAAAGCATTTACATAGGCATATTAACTTGATGGTGGGCCAATTAGTCATGTATTTCCTTTGCTACAATGTTTACATATTTTGCAATGTAAGTCATTGTATTTTTTTCCTTTGTTTTTTTGCTTTGTATGCCATTAGATAGTATACAAACTTTTACAATAAATAGACCAAACTGTTCATTTAAGATGGAGGATGGCTGGGATTTTATGTTTTCTTCTACCCACTCCTTTTTGGACAATAGAATTAAGCATAACGGGCAGATGGGTTGTTGTAAAGATTTGTTTGTCCATGCTCAGCAATTTTTTTTTTTTCCATCTGCTTTGTTGTCTCAATGGCTTTTGTTATCTTTCTTTTTCTTCAGCTGTCTTTTATCAGCCACATTTTTTTTTATTTTACAACCATTTATTCAGCTTGAGGAAAAAAATACTTGTTTTGTGTATGTTGCTTTTTAAAAAACAGAGATAAAACCATGTTCTTCTACATAATATATTGTGTCCAGATTTTTTTGTTATTTCTAGCAGCCTGTCCTACCACCACCTCCACCCGTTGACTTATTTTCAACTTGACAGTTATGCTCTCTGATGCAAAACAAATGTGATATAAACGATTACTGAGAAGTGAAGTGAAATGAAATGGAAAATAAACTGAGTGAAACAAAAGAAAATGGAAGCTACAGAACACCTAAAATAAATGACTTTTGAGAAAATTTACCAAAAACACCTTATTCAATAAAAGTATTGTTGTGAAGGTTTACCAAAAGATTATGAATATATTAAATAACTGCAACTGGAGGTAATAGTTAATTGATAGGTAATTCAAATCAAAGATAAAACCAATTAATTATTATTGAATGGTTATAACTGTAATTTGCGTATTCACATGGGTTCTTAGTCTTTTTCATTAAAATTGTACCCCTAAATCTGGCTGTTATTATTCACCAACCAAAAGAATCATCTCTGTTCATTCAAATATTAACCAAAATGAGGGTTGATCTGACATGAGGGATAAATTGTTCACTGTATAAAATAACCACAAAAGACCATGGGTTAAAATACAATGCTTTCTTTATTAGTTAATAATCACAGTATTATTGTATTTAATAACTATGCAGACACTTGGTACTACTGAAAATAAGCACAAAAAAATCAAAACAAACGAAAAAGTGGAAAAGGGTTTCATGAGTCTGTTCAAGAGTCTGCTGAATGTCAAAGTTTTAAGGCTCAAGGCATTAAAGTACCCTTTAAAATAGATGCAGATAATTGTGAATAACCCTGATGAAGAGATATTAAATGCAATTAAACTGTGAAAATCAAACAATGACCGGGCGGGCTAGCTGGAACAAAGCAGAGATTAGAGGACTCAAAATGGCTGCTACCATAAGGCAGCAGCCATTTTACACATGCAAAATATTTATTCTACTTATGTTTTGCCCAAGCAGAGTGTTCAGCTAATTTTG